TACATATACAGGTATATATACTGAACTGAATAAATGTAACACTATTTTACCTTTACTGAATTCAGTTGAATGAAATCAGCTGACATTTTTAAAAATTAATCCATTGTACTGTATCTGTTTTTTGAGTGTAGGAAACTGGAAGCTGGAGCCAGAATGGGACTAGCTTTTCTGATTCCAAATTTTAAGTCCTGTCTCTTCCATGTAAACAAATGAGACATTATCTAAAAAAACTCATCTATGATATTTTTTTCAGGTGTTAACGCTTTTTTATTTCATGTGATTCTAATCTTRTTTTAAAATATTCACTTTTCTATCATGTTTAGCTGTTTTCGTCGATTCATAGTGAAAATGGCTCCATAGGTGGGGGCTTATGGCTACCTAGCCTAGCCTGGGCAAAGACTTTTTGCATATTTCTCCATAATCCATGCTGTAATGTCACAGATGATAAAACACTAACTGTTGACAACTGTTTGACAGCACATCACTTCAAAAATGACGCGACTATCCCTTTAACACTTCTGCTACATGTTCTCATTCAGACCACACACTCAGAGTTGGCAAATTCCCCAAAATTTAAAACGATTACTTTTTTATGGACTCTACATCATGTAGTGTTAATTGTCCCTGTTTCTGCCACATGGAAACTATTTTTTTGTTTGTCAACCACTCTGTTAATGCACTCTTTCCTCGGCGGGATGCTCAGTCTGAGACATGCAGCCCACTGAAGTGCAAAGACTTTCACGCTCCTCCTCCTTTCTTTCTCCAAACACCATTTGAGAAAGATTTTCTCCGAGTCTTTTCTTGGCCACAGATCAAGAGAACATTATTCCTCTGCTTTTATTTATTTATATATTGTGGTGGTAATGTGTGTGAATGAATGTGTGTGAGTGAGATAGAAATGTGTGTGTGTGAGTGTAGAACCCACAAAAATATTTCAGTTTCTTCAGAATATTAAATAAACATGCAGCAGCTTCAGTGAAGCTTTGACTGCCAGTGGGGTTTTTTGACTTGGATGGGTGACGGAGCTTGTAGGGGAAGGGGGTGATGAGGGGAGGAGGTGTTGTGGCCGTGGCTCTGTGGGGGTGGAGGCAGCTCATGGTCAGGGCCCCCACCGGACACACTGGCGCCTCGCGCTGGAGGACTTCTGAACCACCACACTCCTCCACCAAAAACCCTGCCAACCCCGGCTCCCTGCTCCTGCTTYCAACCCAAATCACTCACTTTTCTTTTTGCATTTTGTCCTCCTCCTCCCCCTGCTCCTCTCTCCTCCCTCCTCCCTGGGTAACATTTCATTCTTTAGCTTCCTCACTCACTTGATCCAGATCCAGAATCATTTGCTGTTTGGCTGCACTCCTTGTCTTGCTTACCGCTCGCCTGTTAGGGTCAGGAGTTTGTTATTGTCACCTTTTCTCCTGCGGATTTTGTGTGTTTTTGTGTCTCCATCACCTCCGCCTTCCACTTTACGTCCCTTCAGTCTCCTCGCTTAAACTGTTCCAAGGAAGTATTTAGTGGCTTCAGTTGAAATAAAAACAGAAAAGGCAAAGAAAATTGATTTGAGATGCGTGTTAGACAGACTACAATCAACATTTTTATAAGAAAAGAACACTAATGCTTCTCTGAGTATTTGTGAGGCTATTAGGTTATAATACGCCACCAATTTTCTCAGTGGTTTTCTCACTGGCTCTATTCCAAACAGATATTAAGGCAGAATATGATTATGTAACGTCTTTAAACTGCCATTTTCAATGGCTCTGGTAAAAGCTGGTGTCAGACACYCTTTATCTTCACAACAGAAAACGCTCTGATGTTTTAAATTATCTCACATGGGTTTTTTACACAACGTTTTCATTTTTATTTACTGTTGTGCATCAAAAAGGCATTATTACTAGTAATCATTTGTTTGAGCTCTTTGTGAAATTGTGTTTTTTTCTAATAATCCCCCTGTTTAGTATAAAAAGAACATGGGTGACACACATCTGAAAAAGACTTTATGTCACATGCAATTTTTTTACCAATTTTTTTTTTCCTGGAAGCAATTTGTCATCCAAAGGGTACTAAACGGAAAGCATATTATCTTTTTAAAGGGGTTGCAGAGTCACCCACAAGCCTTGCACGGTTCCTATATACCAGGGGTGCCAAAACATTTTCCCTGAGAGGGCCAAAATTAAAATCAATCTGAGGGCCGTGGGCCAAATGCATTAATATAAGAAATGCAAATACTTAAGTAAAGTTGTTTTATTTTTTATGATTAAGCTAGCAGCCAGTGTGATTGCCCACGTTCTTTAGTTGTTGTTTTTTTTTTCAGCCCATGGACATGGAGAAAATTCAAAATATGCTAAGGCAGCAAAGGCTTATGGGACTTTTCATAATTTAAAATTTGAGTATATGTGGTCTTATACGGTGTGCAAATCTATATATGGTATTAAATCTAATCTAAATGTCTCTTGCAGTTACTTGCCTTTTATATTTAATCTTAACATAATTACAATCTAGTAACCAGGACAACTGSTGGTGGGCCAAATCAAATGGCTCGGCAGGCCAATTTTGGCCCACAGGCTCCACTTTGGGCACCTCAACAAAAAAGGTCTTGTCATGGCGCAATGGGCAGCATGGGAGGACTCCTTTTAAACTTTAAAGCCAGAACTAAAAATGCTGCAACATGCTGTAATTAGACCAGGAAGTTTTGTGATACACGTCACAAAAAGTGTTATTTGGTGATGAATTGTTTAGTAATCACAAAGGAGGAAGTCATATTCAGGAAACACCTCTTTTGCTGCAAAACGTGTGAAATTTTAGCTAAAACATGKCATAAAAGGAACAAATTTAAGTAGACACCTGCATAATAATTTTGCCTTTTTGTGTGCTTAAACCCCTTGCCCTCTGTTATCTGTTACATTTTCCTCTTAACCTTTGTTTCATAGTCTGAACTCTTTTTGTTCTCCAGGTCACATTTTGGTTCACTCCGGTGAGGGAGAGGGGAAAAAAAACCTTATCTTGTTATTACTCAGCCTGACTGCTGCAGCCTCTGGGCATGATGACATTCTTTTCCTGTTCCCCTCCAATTCTCTATCCCAGAAACACAGACACACCTGCAGACAC